CCCTAGATGGTCACAAATGGGATGCTAATTGGCTTGGCTCATCGATTTTCTGCACACCTTCTCAAGAAGCAGATTGGGGTATTTTTCAGGCGTCTGATTGTTAATTGAAGTAATGAATAGAGAGCTGGATGGGCAGCTCACTTGGGTTTGGTAAATTTAACTCAAGCTATTCACGAGAGATTTCTAGCAACCAAGTGCTTTTCATGGGAGTTGGGTAGCAATAGATTAGCTGGAGCCAATCACAGTCTAGCCTAGGCTCTTTATAACTTTACTCAGTATAGTTTCTGGCTGCTGAACATTGTACAATGACAGCTTTGTAAGGATATCTTAAACAATAGCTTTTGTTCTGGTGGACTCAAAATATTCTTTCAGCTCCCAGAGCTTGTCTGCTTTCTAGTGCAGCTATTCCTGAGATTCCCAAAACTTATTGTCTTATGATTTTTCATGAGGCCACTGAACTGAGTTACCACAGGCTTATTTCCACAAGAAATAGAATAGAACAGAACAGAACAGAATAGAATAGAATAGAATAGAATAGAATAGAATAGAATCTGGAAGGGACCTTGGAGGTCTTCTAGTCCAGCCCCCTGCTCAAGCAGGAGAACATATACCATCTCAGACAGGTGATTGTCTAGTCTCTTCTTAAAAATCTCCAGTGATGGAGCACCCACAATTTCTGGAGGCTAGTTGTCACAACAATCATCTTGTTTGGGGGAAGCTCACTGGTTACTAAATGTGAATGTGGCTACCATGAAACAAGGGACACTTGTTCACAAAACTGCAGTGGCTAGTTATGAAATGTATCTATTTATTAGCAGGCCAAGCACTGTAGCCACCTTTCTTGTCTTTATTTTCTAGAGAGTGACTAAACTCTATAACTATTCATATTTTTAGCTTGTAACAATGCCTATTATGCCCATGTGGGCTCAAAAATATTGGCAGTGGGGCAGGAATGAAGCTTGTGCTTCATTTGATATTATACCAATTTTCTTTATTTTCTTAAATGAGTGGCAGAGAGCCAGATAATGCCCAGGCATATCACTACGTGGACACGGATGGGCACACTGTAGGTATCACACTACTTAGTTCTGACTTCTATCAATCTGATCTGATCAAGAACTACTCTTGATCAAAACTAGGAAATGCTTCAGCTAAACAATACAGTAAGTCCTCCTTTCTGAAATAAAGCCCCCCTCCCCTCCCCCGATCAACAGATTTGCTTGTTGGGTAACAAATTGCAGAAGTTTGCAGCTGAAAGTGTAATTCCATCCAGTGATTAATTGGGATCTTAATTGGAGACACCATTAAAATATGTTAAAAATGTGTTAAACAGGCAAAGTCCAGCTAAGTATTAGAAGGTTTTGCTAGAGTTAACACCTGAAATATAAGATTATATTTTGCTTTGATTCAGTTTGCTTTTTAGTGTAATGCAGATTTATAAAAAAAGATAAATTTGCAAACTTTAGTAGAAATAGAACAACCTTAAGGCTAGGAAAATGAGCTTATACAGTAAGTGAAAATTAAAGATATTATATGTACTATTATTCTTTCATGTTTATTAAGCAGCATGACAGTTTATGTAATCAAACACAGCCCTCTATTGGTCAAAATGATTAATTCAACCTTCCCAATGAATAAAACATAAAGCAGTTCTATGGTCTTATTGAGATGTAATTTACTGAATAAAGAATGGTATATTAGATTATTTAAGATATTTTTTATAAAATAAAAAGCCTTTAAGGTATATGTAATATTAATAGTATAGTAAATTAGAAGTCCAAGTGTTTAGAGAGGTATTGAATATAGAATTAAAGGACTTATATATCAATGAAAAGCCATTTTAGTAACTGTATGCCATATTTCTGTAGATTTGAAATAATTAATAGTGCAGTGATAAGTATTACTTATCTACTGACTACTGTGAATCTTACATGACTTTTTCACAAGGTGTTGATGGATTTAGCAAATTGTTGATGATGTGGCAATCAGAATGCAATCTAATGTTATATAATGTAATTGAGTACTCTACAGGCTTCCTTTTGGACCAAAGATACAGTAGTTCTCTTCTTAATTTTGTTCTCAAAGATTACTGCTTTTGTAGATGGTCATATTTTTATTATATACTATTCAAATTTAAAGCAGGACAATAAAAACAAATATCATTTTTTCTATGCTCATTCTATTACAATAGTAAACAGATGTTTAGTCTCCATTAGTTTATAAAGGGCTCCAAATGATTTATCTTTCTTTCCATATTTTAAAAGCAGTTTATTGCTTGGAAGATTGCATATACTAATCTATAGGTTTTGGCTCTTGTGCATTTTTAATTTAATTGTGCAACACAACAGGAATATGTTTTTTATTTGTATAAAAAAAATTAAGCTTTCCCAATTTCTTCTTTTCCCTTTCTTTTGTTGAAAGAAAAATCAGGTCCAGTTCCAAGCTGGGAGTAAATAAAATAGAGACTAAGACGCTGGACATAAAAATGGAGGCTGCTTAAGAAAGAAGGTTCCTGTTTATTGATGAGCAGAACCTGCAACAGCATGCAGTTCTGGGACAGCTGACCAAATGGAGTTGAGAGTGGGTGGGTTTTTATACCTTCTTTGGGCTTTGTATTTGAGGTGCGCTTGAGTGTGCCCTTTTGGTATTCTAATGGTGGTGGGTTAATACTATTATGTCCTAAAGGTCATGTCCTGTCTTAGAATTTGGGTCGGGAATGTAAATTTTAGGAATCTTTGTTTTTCTAATCCCTCAGATCCAGCCTTCCAGCCCCCAGTCTCCCTGAATGGATTACCAAATCTGCATTTCTAAAAGCTGGTTTCTGCATGGGGCAGGGAGATTGGAGTTGGTTTCTGCCTCCCTTAAGATTTTTTTTCTCTATTTCTCCTTCAGGGGAAATATTCTATCCTGCCTCTTTTAGTATTTCCCAAATTATTTCATTCTCTGGGGGGATACTGACTCCCTACATTTTTTATATATATATTAAGGAAAGGGGGAAAAAAAGAAAACATGTATATTGATTTTTGCTTTGGTGGCTTCCTATTAAATTAAATAATGTTCAGAAGTATTTGAATTCGATTGAATTGTATTCTATGCACTGGGAAAAAAAGGTTTAAAGGGCAGCATACACATTTTAAAAATAAGTAAATGAAATAAGTGAAACTATGTGTATGTAAAAGGGCTAATAATACAATAACTAGTCACAAACAATTCACAAACTGTACAAATTTTAAAGTATTTGAAGGAAATCATTTCTAAATAACACATACTTATATTCTAAGAAAAACAAATCCCAATCATTATCTAACATGACAAAACACAGTTGGAGTTACCTATAATCTGGTAATTTATAGGAGACAATTATTTTTGCTTAAATATATTTTTTATTTTTTATTTTTTATTTTTTTTAATATACAACACAGAAAAAAATCAAAAAGACATTGCAACATAATAGAAAAAACAACAAAGCAAAAAAAGAATAAAAAAATAAGTTTGCAACTATGAGCTCAAAAATAAAGTTATCTATAGTTCTCAAATGGGGATTACACAAGAATATCATTTCACATCAGAATAAGGAACAAATCTGACCAATATCCAAATACATCCTGCAACCTTAAATGCAGAAAAAAACAAATGATTTTTTCAGTAAAAGAGAACAGATTTTGACTACAAAAGCTTTTGAAATAATCACTAAAATTCCAGAAAGATATAGATATCAAAATATAAGCTCATTCATAAGTTTAACATATGGAAAAATTAAACCCACTTCACAAGTGCAGTTGAAAGACTTGAAAAGCAGGTTAGTGATATATGAGAATCAGGTGGGTGAAAAACGTGAGAATGGCAGTGGCTTATAACTTGCCAGCTTCCCCACTGACAGGCAGGAAAGGTCATAAATGGTGAACATGTGACCACAGGATACTGCAGCCATCATTAATTGCAAGCCAGTTGCCAAGGGCCAAAATCATGATCATGTGACCATGTGACACTGCGATAGCTGAAACTTCAAGAACCAGTCCTTGCCATTGTAATTTTGAATAGTTGCTAAAAGAGTGGGTAAGTACTTGTAACCCAAGGACTACCTGTACAATGCCTTGGAATAAGCAGTTGCTATCTTTGCATAAGCTAGACCCCAATTTTTCCTAGCACCCAGTTGCAATCCTATTAATGATGTGTGTGAATTGCATCCGTAAAAAGGGTAAATTGTCTTCTGTGATTGATTTTGCCAACAGGCTTATAATTAGCCCAGCTTTCTGGACTGAACTATAAACAAAATAAATATAAGAGTTACATTTTTATAACCTGCTGGGCTAATTTGGTGTTTGCCAGCTTGTCATGTATTTAATTGCTGCAATTAGTTTTCCCTCCTCAAACTATGACTATTCAATTCTCAAGGTCACTCTACGTGCAGTTGTTGAGATGAACTGTAAAATATGAAGTTATTACAGATTTGTTAGATTTTAATAGGCCATTAAACTATTTTCATTTTATAGTTAAAAGCATAGATTATTCTTTATTTGCAAAGATCAAAATGCATACACCAATACAAAATCTGAATAATAGAGTACAGGTAGTCCTTGATTTACAACAGTTCATTTAGTGACCATTCAAAGTTATAATGGCAGCGAAAAAAGTGACTTATGACCGTTTTTTTACACTTACAACCATTGCAGCATCCCCATGGTCACGTGATCAAAATCCAGACACTTGGCAAGAGACGACTGGTGTGTCCCATGGTCATGTGATCACTTTTTGGATCTTCTGACAAGCCAAGTCAATGGGGAGTTCAAATTCACTTAAAAATGTGTTACTAATTTAACAATTGCAGTGATTAACTTAACAACCGTGACAAGAAAGGATGCAAAACGGGGCAAATCGGCCTGCCTTCCAGATTGGATTTTCCCTACTCTTCCCATCTTCGTCCCACGTGGAAGACTTGCTTTGTTACTTGAAAAGGCGGCGCTAGGGCCTGCCGGGGGGAATCGGCGGGTTCGTTTTGCGCGTGCGCAGGTTCCTCAGGCAGGGTAGCACCGCTTGATAACTGTTCTCCTGAGACGAGGAAAAGAAGCGCTCGGGTTTGGCGAAGTTGAGAAGAAAGCGGTTTGGCCAATCGCGAGCTCGCCCGGTTCCAGCATGCGGTTCCTCGGCTGCCTAACGCGCTACGAGCGGAGGTGAGGGGACAGCCGCTGATCGTCTTCTGGCGGGAGCGGCCATCCTGGTCCCCCGCGGGGCTATAGGATTCCCCGCGGCTCAAGAAATGAGAAACGGGGGGGGGGAGGGAGGAGCAGGGAAGGGACTTGCAGGCGGCGCTTTACTGACGGAAAAGAGAGGCTCGCGCTCAACCGGCGCGCGGCTTTTGGGCTCGGCGCTTCTGTAAGTAGTTTGGGGCAATCCAAGGCAGAGTAAGACGTGGGGAGTCCCAGCCAGCTTCCGGGTTGTGATCTTGTTTCGTCTGGACCAGGGGTAGGCAACCTCGGCTCTTTTATGACTCGTGGACTTCAATTCCCAGAATTCCCGAGTCAGCATAGCTGGAGGAATTTAGTGAGGCTTTTTGAAAGTAAACCTGCCTAGAAAACCAGTTGTTATTTATAAGATGATGATGACATGGTGGGGGTCACACTTATAATGGATAATTTCCAGGGGAAGCTTTGGTCCCTTTAACACCACTGTAGAGTCTGAAGGGGTACTTTAGCAAGACGGGCTTATTCTGGGAACCCCATGGTCCTGGATAAAGAGGGCTTTCCCACTGGGGAACCTGTAGCAACAGCCAGTAACTAAGATGACTTTAAGGCAGTGTTTCTCATCCTTGACAACTTTAAGGTGTGTGGACTTCAACTCCCAGAATTCCCCAGCCAGCATAGCTGGCTGGGGAATTCTGGGAGTTGAAGTCCACACACCTTAAAGTTGTCAAGGTTGAGAAACACTGCTTTAAGGAATGTTTGACGGCCTTAACCTTATTGAATCTGTCCGTATCTATATGTACCCTCTGGGATTAGATTGATCATAAATAGCAGCAGAAGAGGGTTATTGTCTTCCATTATTTTAAAATATGAATCCTATATTTCCACTGTGTAATGCTTAAAGCAGATTAAAGTGATTACACCACAGGCTAAAGCAATCCCACAAGACCATCCACAAATGTAAAAAGTGTTGTTCCTGTCCTTCTCTGAAAAGATGTATGGTTGGTGTAAATATGTTTCCAAAAGGAATGGTTATGAACTTTTATTTAAGATTGTGATTTAAGATCGTTATACAGCAGTTTTAGAACCAGCACTACAGTACACTCAAGCTTAAAAAAAAAAAGTACCATACTGCCCACTATGCCTTGTATTTTAACCAGAATTTGACACCTAGGACCTTTTACATATTGCCAATGTTTCCATTTGGACCAGTGATTCTCTTCACCTAGTGACTTTGAAATGCTAAGAACCAGTTTGCCTTTCCAGCTATCCTAATAGGAGAGTTCGCAGAACAACACCCAGTACAGGTGTACAGTTAGTCCTCGACTTACGACCACAATTGAGCCAAAAAAAATTCTTGCTAGGTGAGACATTTGTTAAGTGAATGTTGCCCCATTTTACAATCTTCTTGCCCAGTTGTGAAGTGAATCACTGCAGTTGTTAAATTAGTAACATGGTTGTTAAGTGAATCTGGCTTTTCCATTGACTTTGCTTGTCAGAAGGTTGCAAAAGGTAACATGACCCCAGGCCATTGCAATGGTCATAAATGTGAGTCACTTTCCAAGAGTCTTAATTTTGATCATGTGACCATGGGGATGGTGCAATGTGAAAAATGGTCATAAGTCACTTTTTTCAGTGCCATTGTAACTTTGAATGGTCACTAAATGAACTGTTGTAAGTCGAGGACTACCAGTACCTCGGTTCCCCACCACACACATTTATTTCTTAAAATAATTTATAAAGATAGCAAATATCCTTTAGTTGCACATAAAAACTTTATTAACGTGGAGATGATGGGGAAACTGAAAAAGTCTGTATAGCACATTCAGCCACTTCTAGTATCAGTCACAGGAAATTTAGTTATCTAGTATTCTGGTACCAGAAGATTTGCAAACTGTTTTGATCAGTATCAGCCACCTTTGCAATAGCTGTCATTTTCTGCCTTTTTAAACTGGCAAGACTTTATTGATATCAGAGCACCATAATAATGTAGGGGCAGGGTTTTTTTTCTTTCTCTCTGTCTATTTTTTTCTACCTGTTTTACTATTTATCATACATGACTGTGGAGAAAAGATTTTTTTTAAAAAAAAAACAATGAAGATAAACAGTGCAGCTGGTTTCCTGTATCTCTGCCTAGAGAAAAAAAGGGAGAATTAAAGTACATTTCTGATAAGTAATGTTTTTGCTATTTTTTTAAAGCAATTAAAAACATACTTGTTCTAGGTCTAGACAATAGAAAAATTCCAAGTTGAAATCAGTAATAATCATTGCTTAACTACAGTTTCAGTCATGGTCCAGGTTTTTATATAATTACATATATAACAATAATTTATGATGACTGGCTTTAATAATCTAAATTGTAGTTTAACCATGGTTAATGGATTAAGATGTCATTATCAGGGTTTTCATATCACTTATATATTGTGGATGGAATATCACACTCTAAGCCAAACCATATCTTGGTTTAACACAATGAATGAACTAATTTACCAGGATTTTTTATTGTTCTTAATTTGCACCAAGCTATACAAGTTGAGGGTTCTCTAAATAATAGTCCAACAAATTTGAAAATCACTAGATTTGGGGACGACTATGCCAAATAATCAGTAGTAGTCTGATGTTAAACTGAAGGAGTTGCAGAGATCTTTCTTTTCCCAGTTAGCCTCCCTCCTGCCTCAGAAGGTGGTTCGTTTTCTGCGCAATACTTAAAAGATGTGTCTGAGTTATGCAAGTTAATATAATTTAATATTTCCAGAAACAAAGGAAATGATCCTAACTGCTGTTTTCACAGTTGGTTAGAAGAGCAGTAAAAACTTAAATGTGTATTAGAAATAATCATGTATATGTTAGCCCTGGTCCTGTTACATTAAGCTTCTTTTAAAAGCTAAGCAATAGAAAACAGTAGAATTCCTCTGTCTAAAGTCATGGTCTGAATCATTTCTATTCCTTTTCTCTTCCTTCAAAACCTAATATAATACAATATTTAGCTGGGTTCTCACATATGGTTTATTTGATTTTTGCTTAATGCATTGGGTAAATCAAACCATAATTCAAGTCGTATGATTTAGGCTTTATTGTAAATTATTCATTTATATATTGTATGAACTAAGATATTTTTCATTCCTTTTAGGTGGCCAGATGCAAAAGGCTACAGTTCTATTGAAGTGAAGAACATGGGTAGGAAAAAGAGAAATACTGTTATATTTGCTGAAATTTCTTATATAATTTAAAAATGCAGAGTCTCTTCAACTTATTACCATATTATAAGCTTCCCAGAGCTACTCTGTGATAAGATGGGCGGCCAATCATTTTTATAAATAAATAAATTACCCTTATCTTTAACATTTAATACTATAATTCAGCAATGTCTTCTTTGTTCTTCATTATTCTAATTGTAAAATATCAATAGCCATCATCAACATCAAAACTTTCTCCACCCTTTTTCTAAACAAGGCCGCTAAAGCTGAAGTACTCTTGGGAGAAAAGCAACTAACACTGAAAGTTCAGTTATAAAAAAATAATTCTGGATTGTCCATGTGCTGAGAGGCATATACTGTACTTGTTTATTAGGTCTAAGAGCATGCACCTTTTCTCTTGACTTACCTATTCCTTAGCTGGCTTTGGTTGGTAAACCTCAGAATTCAAAATAAATAAACTGAACTAAATTGAATTGAATCTTTTAAAGAGCACTTTTCCAATTTCTTTCTTAGAAAATATTTAAATAGTCTGCTGCAGTTTTGAATAAAATACTGTATTCACTATGTTGTAAAAAAATTATTTGCTGTTGTGTAGAGCTGAAAATTCTAGGGAAGTGTCAAAGCACCAGGTGAAATTCTTACTTGAAATTCTTCTTTAATTCAGCCATTTAAGTTTATCAGTATTTTGTATTTGCTAACTCATGACAGTTGAATATATGTGCTCATACATAATGGAAAGTTAAGTTTACTGTGTTTCAGATTAACTGCGATCAAAGTTCACATAATTCAGGAGGAAATGGTTATTATAACATACGCCCCATACAATGATTTTCTATGAAGAATTTATCTGAATTAGGAACTTGTTTACTTTAAAAAAAACTTTCCTTTGAATATATTATTGCTGTTGCTGTAATAAGAGACCTGGCTAAAGTATGATGATTCATCATAAGGAAAACCTACATTATAGAATATTAGTCAAGCTGAATATTATATAGTTCTTTGGAATATAATACATTTTTAAAAGAAATAAATTCTAGAACAATCTCATTTTGACAAGTGAGGAAAATTTCTGTGAGATTTCTTAGTTTTTATATCTATATCTAATGTAATTTCGTTAGTTTAACAATACATCAGTGTTTTGGTAGAAGTACTTTACTCCTTTCTGTCTTTACTCCTTGTCAAAAATCAGTGAATTTAAAATTTTAGGTCAGTATTTATCTCAATAATCTATTATATTATTTTTCCACAGAATTTTCCTCATGTCAAAAAAAAAGTTTATTACAGTAATAGTATCAACAGAATTGTAAAATTTGGCTTAAGACTTCCAGCAGGATTTTATATATTTTTTCTAGAGTAACAAGTTTTTAAAGATAGTTCTTATAGATTTTTATTACATTGTGTATTTTTAGGAATATCATCACATTAAAGTCTTCAAGGCAGAAATTACAAATTAAAACGCATTGCCACATCATTGATATGGCAGAATGAAATGTTAGCGTCTAAGCAGCCTTTCAATATAATAATAATAATAATAATAATAATAATAATAATAATAATAATAATAATAATAATAATAATAATAATAATAATAATAATAATAATAANACTGTCAGGAAGTTTCTCCTTAGTTCTAGGTTGCTTCTCTCTTTGGTTAGTTTCCATTCATTGCTTCTTGTCCTGCCTTCAGGCGCTTTGGAGAATATTGGAACACTGCTATCATGTCCCCCCTCGTCCTTCTCTTCGTTAAACTAGATATACCCAATTCCAGCAACTGTTCCTTATATGTTTTAGCCTCCAGTCCCCTAATCATCTTTGTTGCTCTTATGTGCCCCTTTGTTGCTCTTATGTGCCCCTCTTTCCATTTTCTATACTTGTCCTTTTTATCTTTCAATTTATCAGAGAGTTCTTTATGCAGCCATGCTGGTTTCTTTTGAGAGCTGTTATTTTTCCTCTTTGTTGGTATTGTGCTAGACTGAGCTTCTATTATCTCGCTTTTCAAAATTTCCCAAGCTTCTTGAGTTGTTTTCCCCTAGAGGATTCTCATCCATGGAATCCTTCCCAAACCCTAAGTTTATTGAAATTAGCTCTCTTGAAGTCCAAGATTCTAGTTTGACTGTGTTCTATTGCTTGTGCTTCCATAATGTTGAATTCCAATATTGCATGATCACTTCCTCCCAAGGTTCCTGTAGCTTCAACACCTTCTATCATTTCATCTCTGTTAGTGAGAATTAGATCCAAAATGGCTAATCCCTTAGTTCCCTTCTCTAATTTTTGGGAGACAAAGTTGTCTGCTAGGTTTGTCAGGAATCTGTTTGATCTTCCACTTGGTGCAGAGTTTGTCTCCCAGTTGATGTCAGGGTAGTTAAAGTCTCCCATTACTATTGTGATGTGCTTCCTACATACCTTAGTTAGCTGACTAGCAAAAAGTTCATCTATTTCCTCTGTTTGGTTGAGTGGCCTATAGTATACACCTATGGCAATGTCATTTTTTCTCCCTTTTATATTGACCCAAATGCATTCAAGACAGTTTTCACCATTGTTGTGCTCTATTTCTGTAGAGATGTAGTTATTTCTTATATAGAGAGCAACTCTACCTCCTCTTTTATTTGGTCTGTTTCTTTAAATAATTTAAATCCCTCTAGCTGTGTGTTCCATTTGTGGGTTTCATCCCACCATGTTTCTTTAATGGCAACAATATCATATCTGCCCTCATTAACTTGAATTTCTAGTTCACCTTGTTTGCTGTTCATACTCTGTGCATTGGTGTATAGACATTTGAGTCCTTTATGACTGACCCTATGTTTACTTTCTACATAACCTGTGTGGTGCCTGAGTTTTGCGCAATGGCTCCATTTTTCTCAAATAAATTTCATACTTCCTTTTATGAGACAATTTGATTTTTTTTTTTTTTTAGATTACAGGAAATTATAGGCAACTCCTCAAAAAAGTGAAAGAAAAAGTCTAATGGAGACCATGAAGATTCCAAAACTATTCTGGGTGTTTGCAATTTTCACATGTGCTGCTATATATGCTATGTATACCAAGTGGAATTTTTACTACAGAAGAAAAGGTGTTGACAAAGGTTTGGAAAAGCAGCTTGGTGCTGAGATCTCAAGAAAACATGAGGCAGTTCTTTATGGAATTATGTTTGATGCTGGAAGCACTGGCACCCGTATACATGTATTCCAATTTGCACAGAAACCAAAAGGTAAGCTCTTCAGTTCATAATTTTGCTAATATAAGTACCTCTCACTTACCAACCACTTGTTCAGTAACTGTTCAAAATTGCAGCAGTGCTGAATAAGTGGTACTTACAACCTGCCTTCAAAATTCTGGCCATCACAGCATCCCCATGGTCATATGATCATGACTTGGGAGATTGGCAACCTTGCACTCAAGATGATTACGTAGTCATGTGATTGCAACTTTCTCTACTAGCTTCCCACAAGCAAAGTCAATGGGGAAGACAACAGGGAAGGTCATAAATCACGCTGGTCAGTTCCCTCCAGCCTTCCTGCACACTCTGCCATGCTGTCTTTCCCTTGACTGCCACACAGTAGCATTCCCCCCTCACCCAACTCACATGCAGCCTGAACTGGGCCACCCAGGTCTTCCCTCCACCCCTCTGGAGCACCCCCATGTGCCAGTGCAATTATGTGTCATACTGTGTGACTGCATCTCTTTGTGATGGCAAACCCAGTCCCAATTGCTATCATAACCCAAGGACCACCTGTAGTGTCCTGGATGCTCAAGCTAATTTTGCTTTCTGTGAAGAATTATGATAGTAAAAGATGTGTGAATTTGTTTAAAATAATTAGAATATTATTACCAATTTATGTCTAATTTCTTTCTGACTATTTCCATTTGAAACCCACATACTGTGAGAAGTTGGAATGATTGGTATTAACAAATTCCTCCATGTTCAGTGACCTGACGTATGCTCATAACAACACTTACTTAAAGTTAATATCTCTGCACAAGCAAGCAGTAATGTGACAGTAATGTCTTTAGTCCTTAACCAGATGTTGGTTTTCTCATTATCCTGTTTCATGTTTGATTCAGTTTTCTGCATTAGCACTGAATGAAACTTTAATTTTGATCACATTAGACCAGACATGTCAAACACAAGGCCCGGGGGCCGGATGCGGCCTGCAAAGTGGTTTCATGTGACCCGCGAAGCCATCCTGGAAACAGTGAGGGAATGGCCCCCTCTGCCTTGGCCCTGGCCCAGGGCCGGCTGAGAGCCAATGTACAATTTTGTGGTGGCCATCTATGCTGCAACACATTCAGTCTTAGCTCCACAAGGCTGTCTGGAAACAGTGAGGAACCAGCCCCTTCCGCGTCAGCCCCGCCCCCTGGGTGCATGCTGGGGAGGTGTCACCCTTTGTGAGGAATGAAGAAATGCACCATCGCCTGGAAGTGGCCAGCAAATGGCCCTTGCCTACTTTACCTATCTGGCTTGATGGGCTCTGGGGGAGGGGTTTCGGCAGGCAGCGGGGCGCTCTCCTCACAGTGCCAAGAGCTGAGCCAGGTGGTGCAAATCTGATGAGAAGTGCAATGCTGCCTAGCTCCCAGTCTGCCCAGTTTCAGCAGGCAGCAAGGTGCAAAGCTGACGAGCTTCGCACCGCCTGGCTCAACCTCTTGGCGCTGTGAGGAGAGCGCCCTGCTGCCTGCCGAAACTGGGCAGGCTGGGGGCTGGGCGGCATTGCGCAGGTAATGTTGACTCTCACGCTGCTCATGGCATTCCCCCTCCCAGAGCCCACTAAGCCAGATATATGAAGTAGGTGAGAGCCATGTGCTGGCTACTTCCAGGTGATGGTGCATTTCTTCATTCCTCACGAAGTGTGACACCTCCCCAGCTGCATTTCTTGCCTGTTTTTCTCCCTCCCTCATCTCAAATATTTAACACCACTCTGTACTTAGGAAGGAAGGAAGGAAAGAAGGAGAGGGAGGGTCTGAGGGAACTCTTGCCTTAGTCCTGCCCTGCTGCCCTTTCACCATCCCCTTGCCCCCTCCTCCTGGCCTATCCTGGGGTCTCCCATCCTATTGCTAAGCCGGATCTACTCCCATGGAGAGGGAATGGTCCTCCCTCTGACTTTGCCCTCGTACCCATCATGAGCAACCTGGCTAAGGAGAGCAAGCACAGCAGCAGCAGCCTTGAGGAGGAGATAAGTGCAGCTGGGCGCCCCCTTGGGGAAGTGGGGCTGGGCTTGGTGCTGCGGGTGCTCGAGGGCCAGGCTGGGCGTTTGACCTCTGCTGCCCAGGGCTCCAGGCAGCCCGCACCACCAGCCCCTCCCCCGCATGGCCTGAGAGGAACAGTGAGGCTCCTCCAGTGGACCATGCCTTAGCACTTGCCCTGCATCCCCTTCTACCAGAGACCCTCAGATCTGTCCCACTCCTGCCCAGGCCCCCACAGGCGCCCTTGATGCGAACGAGGTAGAGCTCACCACCCAGTAGGTCACACCCACTCCATCCACACCCACTCAGTAGGCTGCACCCACCCTGGCCACACCCACCCAGCCCCCCAAGGGCAACCGCAATGCTGATACGGCCCTCAATGAAATTGACACCCCTGCATTAGACCAAGAATTGGTTACATCAATTCTTTCATAGAAATAACCCATTTAACCCATGTTATAACTTTTTAAATAAAAATTATTTGGGTAAGTCTTCCCAAAAAACAAGTTGCATTATTAAGGTTGTGTTTGAAGTTAAAAGTAATTATTTTGGGTTGCTTCCTTCTAACATAATCAGAAAAATATTTGCACTCCAAAAAATCCTAGGATTAAAATGGGGATAATATATTTAGCAACAAGATAATATGGCTTTTTTTTTAACTGAAACATACAGTAAAGTAGCTAGAGTACCCAGCTGCAGAAATAGTTTATGTGAAGAGATGGTTAAAATGTTAAATTTTTAATCCACATTTTAAGGACAAATTTCTGTATGTGTGGACTGTATTTCCTGATTAACTGATTGTCTCAGTTAAGAACTGTTCAGTGTTAATAATGATGTAAATAAAATAGATCCTCGCATTTACAACTGTCAGTGTCCCATGATCACATGATTGCCATTTGGCCACTTCAAAACTGGTATGCATTTACGACCATCGCAGTGTTCCATTATTGTGTGATCACCACTAGTGTGTTTCGCAACTGGCTTATGGAAGCAGTTAATACAGAAGGCGGAAGTAAAATCATAAGTCACGATTGTGTGATATTTTGCTTAATAACTAGTGATTTGCTTAATGACCAAAGGGGAAGTGAGATCATAAGCCTGTCATAATCATGTGATGTTTTGCTTAGTGACTGCATTTAACAATGAAGTTTTTGTTCCAATTGTGTTTACTAAATGAGGACAACCCTTAGCCTGTTTTCTTTTATCATCATTTACTCATATCAGAATTTGCTGCCTCCTGGTGGCTCAAATATTTTAATATTTTTATAAAAGCTGTGGCACATTTATATATTTATAGAAAGGTGGTGGGTTTTTTGAGATCTAGTTTAAATATGAAGCAACAGTTGCAAAAACATGGTCTAATTATAGTTTTCATATTAATATAAATATTTATATCTCATCCTTCAGGTTATGAATTGTTGAAAGCAATACACAAGAAACATATATGTTTTTTCAGAATCACATAAATAGTGTCATCATACAATGAAGAGCTTTTCTCATAAGACAGTTGGAAACAAAGGGGATAATTCCGCTGGGTATACTATTTTCTACAGTTAGAAATTAGAAGAAAGATTTCACATTAATTTCTTGATTAATTAATTAACTTAATTTTCTGTGTCTTTGATTTGCAGACTGCAAATTATGCATAGAATCCTTTCCTACATTGAGTTATTTTTTCTTTTTTTAAAAGCAGAACTTCCTAGATTAATTGATACCACATTCAAAGCATTAAAACCAGGACTCTCTGCATATGCTGACAATGTGGATAAGGTAATTTGAACTTAAATAAGTCAATTTAGGCCATGCTTGCCTGGAAATAATTTTCAATTATTGTTAAATTATAAAAATATAAATTATAAATATTAACATTATCAATTATAAAAATTATAATAATAGAAATTTCTTCTGAAGAAACATGCGTATCATAGTATTGCCAGGTTTACAGGTGTATAGTTGTTGAATAAATATACATCTATGCTATTTGTTAGGTAAGGTTTTAAACATTTTTTTATGTTCTGTCTCCATTTTTAAAAGGTATCTTATCTACAGAATAATTCTTCAACAGGTAGGCATAGCTTTTGCCAAAGTTAGGACCATGGATGTTAGGCAAAAGCAACCAGAACAGCTCTGAAGTTTCAGTCAAGAGGTTTCTGTATTGTTCAGTTGCCAGACTGCCTGCCTTCACTTGGGAAAGCCTGATGTAGTCCTAAGTGTTTGATCTCATATGCTTTCTCACCCTCTAGAGCAGGGGTGTCAAACTGCTGGCCCACGGGCTGGATGCATCATGCTAAAACCACGCCCACCCCATTGCCGGCAATGGGAAAAAAGTCACACTATGTCACGACACATCACATGATGTCGCAAGTTTGACAGAAAGCTATTCTATAGAACAGGCAGGACAGCAGAAAGCAAAATGCTGTGTACTTTGAATATTTTTTTTTTAACTTGTAAGCCTCTCAGTGCCATCAAGAAGTCAGGCAATCTCAAAATCTTAAAAATAAAGAAATAGCCTGTATCATCCACATTTATAGTTATTTGTTTTTTAACTGCTTGAATAACTGTTTTAGTGGTTTAAGGCACCAGGCTAGAAGCCCAAATAAGAGAACATACTGTATGCTTGTGTGCGCACACACGCACACACACAAAAAAAACCTCCAAACCCTGCTTAAATAAAAAGGCAACACATTTTTGTTTTGTCAGAGTGCTGAAGGAATAAATGAGTTATTGGCAGTTGCTAAAGAAACTGTCCCTATGCATTTGTGGAAGTCAACTCCCTTAGTTCTTAAAGCAACCGCTGGCTTAAGATTGCTGCCAGAAGAAAAGGCACGGAAATTATTGGATAAGGTACTTTGTTCTTTACTCTTATTATCTTGATTAGCCTAAATTAGTTTGGTATCAGGGCAGGAATCTGTGTTAAATCTTTTGCATTATGTATTCTAGTCTAATAGATAATGGTTAGACTTCAGGCTTATTGATGAATGTTAGAGTATTAATAGGGGGCTGCATTACAGTTTGTCATCCACAGTTATGAAGATGGGTGTGATTTCTTTTAAATCTTCCAATGCAGCAGTGGATGATTTGAACAGGTTTATCAAAAAACTTAATACAGATAACAAATCTGGAAGAGCTCTGCACCTGGAATGCGTAAATAATTTGACCTAGATGGGGTTCATTCTCTGTAAATGCTTTTAATTTTGGGGATGCTTCTTGCTCCATTATGGCTCCTGAGTATCAAGATTACTGTGTATTTGATTTATGATTTTCTACCACGCTCAGATGGTATATCCTCAGTTTCTGAGAATGACCAGCTGTTAGGAGACACTGGTACAGATAGTCCTCGACTTACAACCATTTGTTTAGTAACCGTTCAAAGTTGTGCTGAAAAAAGTGACTTATGACTAGTCCTTATAATTGTGACCATGCAGCATTCCCACAGTCACATAATACAAATTTGGGCTCTTGGCAACAGCATGTATTTACAATGCATTCCAGGGTCATGTGATCTCCATTTGTGACCTTCCCAGCCAGTTTCCAAAAAGCAAAGTGGGGGAAGTTGGATTCACTTAACATCTGCAAGATTCATTTAACAACAGTGGTAATTCACTTAATAACAGTGGCAAAAACAGTCATAAAATTGGGCATAACTTGCTTATTGACTGCCTTGTTTAGCAATCAGAGTTTGTCTCAATTGTTTTCGTAACTCAAGGACTGTCTGTAATCCTGATAAACAATAAAGAGTAAAATCAGTGATATCTCTGTGCCATATTTTCTATTATCATCCGTTGTTTATCTCTGATTAGACACAGCACTATTTTTACTTCTTGATGGAAACTCATTATGGAGGAGGTAGTTTAAATATAAAAGAGTAAATTGATCAATAAGAAGAATGACACCATATATACAACTGCAGAGAAATATTTTCTGAATGACAGTGTTTTTTGAGTTTTAAATGTATTTGTATCAATCTTCCTTTAATTTTAGGTAAAGGACATTTTTCAAGAGTCTCCATTCTTTATAGGAAATGATTGTGTCTCCATAATGGATGGATCAGATGAAGGTAGTTGAATTTGTTTTTCAATAATTTCATATTCTACTTGCTTTTGTTTGTAAAATAACCTTCCTGTGCAGATAAAATATTTGTGTAACTAAGTGCAGACACAATTGTTTGATTAATATGTCTGTAATATTTTTTTCTCTTTCCCTTTCATTCAATCATGCCCAATTCTCAAGAACTGGCTGGACAAGTCCCTGCAGTTTTCTTGGCAAGGTTTTTCAAAAGTGGTTTGCCATTGCCTCCTTCTTCTTAGGCCTAAGGGAAAGTGACTAGCCCAAGATCATCCAGCTGGCTTCGTGCCTAAAGTGACACAAAGAACGGTCTTCCTTTCTTTAACCTGATGCCTTAATCAATAGAACCAAACTGGCCCTCCTACAATATTTTAACTGCTTGCAAATATTTGTGGAGTAATATAAAGATCATCTATTTCTGTTCTATTAAATCAAAGTACTGTTTCCCAAATTCCCTACATATATACATCTCTATATATACATACATACACACACAGACACACACGTGTGTCTCTCTGTGTGTGTATGTATAAAAGAGATAATATTTTTAAACTTAGGTGAAACTTTGGTTAGAGTTCGTTGAAAATGAATCAGTAAAAATGAATAGTGAAGAATTTCAATCCTCACTTGAAAGGAGTGCTGTGGCTGAGTGTCCATTTTTTGCCCAAAATCTTTACCAGGAAGAATGTTTTTTTTCTGCTGATCGTAAATCAACTTAAAATTAGAATTGCTAGAAAGATTTTGGTGTCTGGTTAAGAATTTCTGCACTTACTTTTCATTGTAATCATAATGTGAAAATTCTGTTTCACATATGTCAAGCAAAAAAAGAATTTGAACTTCATGTTTCACAACAGTTGAGTATTCTTGAATTAAACTGCTCCAAAAATAATTTTGTAGAATGTTATTTTTTTATTTCAGTTAAAAAAAAATCAATCATTCTCAATTCGTGAAACATAGAAATAGTGGCTATGTAGTCCATAATGAAACCAAAAGGTACTCTATGATTTCCTATCCTTTTATAGAGAAATCAAAATGGCTCCTATTATTATATCTGCAGGCAACTGAAACAAGAAAAAGACATTAGCCTGTCATCTATGCAAAATTCTCAGTTGTCAGGTACTATGCATTCATAGTGAGTGAACTTAAATGGACTCCAGAAGATGGTAGAGGACAGGAAGACCTGGAGGAACATTGTCCATGGGGTTGCGATGGGTCGGACACGACTTTGCAACTAACAACAACAACATGCATTCATTGAAATTTTATTAGATAATATCTAGTTAACTAGATGGAATCTAAACTGTAGCTCAGAGTTGAAATGGTACTCTCTGAGCTCGGTTGTTTTCTTGCAGATGTTTCATTACCCAAACTAGGTAACATCATCAGTTTTGATGATATCTAGTTTGGGAAATGAAACATCTGCAAGAAAACAACAACGCTCAGAGAGCACCAAGGACTCTACAAAGTCTAAAGTTAAACTATCAAGGATGAGGTAATAGTAACTTTTTGGAGAAAAAAAAATCTGCATTTCCTCAGCACCTTTTTCAATCCCTTAAGGCAGGGGTCTTCAAACTTGGCCCTTTTATGACTTGTGGACTTCAACTCCCAGAATTCCTCAGCGAGGCACGCTGCCTTAGGAATTCTGGGAGTTGAAGTCCACAAGTCATAAAAGGGCCAAGTTTGAAGACCCCTGCCTTAAGGGCAAGATTTTAATTCATCTCTCAGGAAACAAATTGATCAGTTTCCAGTGCCTGTCCTACTGTACTAATAAACAGGAAACTGCTGTTTGCATTTATGGCAGTTTTCATCTAGCTTCTGAGGAATTCTTCCATTTGCAGTAGCAATGGCTAGCACTTGGTTCCAATGTTAGTCACAGCCTGGCACCTGCAGGAGTGCCCTAATCTCCTCTTTTATTGAGAATAAATGACTTCTTCATTTAGAAAGAAAATGGAGTTAGTTTAGTTAAGTAGTATTCAGTTCTGGGTAAAATTGCAAGTATCCATCTTCCACAGAATGAGGGCAAGCTCATGTAAGAGTGAGTGAGCAATTTAGTTAATGAAATTTATTGTTTGTAGTTTTATTTAGCGTTTACTTGCTTTTAGACTTTACATGTTCTGAAACTGGAAGTACAGTTGAGACAAAATTCTGTAGATACGTTTTTCAGTTTGTACTGTGTTTAATTTTTTATTTTATTATAAATTGTAGGCTACACACAGTATTGACACAGAATACTGTGCGACCATCTAGGAAAAAGAATTTTCTATACTATACAATTCTTTATTCTAGCAGATACTTTGAATAAGTTCATAATGATCATTTCCATATGCAAATATGTGAAGGCAAAAAGCATGTATCGTATAATGCTCCAGGTTAACTAAGATCTTTTGGCTTGTAAATAGCACACTGAACTGACATTTTCTATATATCTTTCCTCTGAAGATCCAGCTCATTTTTTCTGATACAGTAGAAACCAGTTTGAAACCTAAGCTCCAGTTAGTGTTAGTCAGATACCTGTATCGTAATTGTTGTAACAATCATGTGTCTCCTGTGCCACTTTTTCACTCATCCTGTTTTGAGTGATTTTGACCAATTAAATTTGCTCTTACTGATAAATAAATCACAGGAGCTGGAAAATTGAAACCTAATCTGTACTTAATTGCATTTTTTAAAATCAGGTATTTCGGCATGGATCACAGTCAACTTTTTAACAGGTATGTTTGCAAGTATGTTATATTACGTTTATATTCTATATTATTATTATTTATTAAACTTGTCAGTTTAATAAATCGCCCATCTTGTCAGTGGTGACTCTAAGCGGCTTACAAATATTCAGTTAAAATGTACTATAAAATATTGAAACAGTAATTGGAATTATACATTTAAAATTCAATTAAAATAAAACAAGAGGGAGAGGGAGGAAACAAAGTGCTCACAGGGAGGAGGTGGGGTACTATGTACTCCATCAACCACCTCCAAAGTGCCCATCCCCATTGGGACCCCAATATAATGCAATTTATGTTCTCTCAAAATGTTCAAAGTATATAGTTTGCTATTTGCTATTTGCTGAAGTAATTTGCTATATCAAACTACAACATTTACATAAGTACTATTGCATTCAGTGTAGCAGTTCCCAGGACATAAAACACATTTGCTTCAGATAAAACTCCAGTTATAGTTTGAATTTAAAACCTATGCTTACTTTAAATATATTTCAGCAAAAACAAGAAATTAAAACATTTCCATGTATTTTATGTTCCTTGTTTGTTATTTGAAATTAGAAGCCTGATTTATGTATGCATGATAATATAGGCAAGATACATGTGTTTTACTTGGAACTGTTTGTAAAAATAATTACATTTCTTGAATAAACAATCCATTAACTTTGCTTTATCAAATTATGCGTTTCAGATAGCTTGAATAATCCAATGAAGAAATGTGTAGGAATGCTAGATTTAGGTGGTGGATCTACTCAAATCACATTTCGCCTGAGCACTGAAGTAAGAAGAATATAAGTCCCTTTTATTTCAACTCTTTCAAGAGATCACAAGATATTTTACACTTTTTTGTTTCTGTTGATTTGCTTCAATTTTGATTTGGGGTATAAAAACATACCAGCGTTAGCATGGATTTAAAACTTTAATTAACTCTCCATTGTTGACATTTAATGGTAGTAGGTTTTTTCTATTCAAGAGGAGAAAGGCTGTCAGCGACTATTACTTTTAAATATATGACTTGCAGTATTGAAGAGAAGAATAGTGTAAGGCTAATACTAGCTATATAAATGGCTATGGATGTTGCCTAAAATCCAAAACTATATAATTTAGATATTATCCAAATAATCTTTCTGGTACATTGTTCTAGCTCTAGAAATATGCCAGCAGATCTTAGGAGCTAACAAAAATTGTAGCACCTGTCATTTCATTGATTCATTCACAGTATACAGCAAGTATAAAGCTGGAAAAATTCTGACAGGCAGCACATTTCTAATGCCTCTCTGGCAGCATTGCTTTTGATCTCTAGACGCTCCTGGCCATCAAGGCTGACAGACAACATTTCTGCTAGGCAGTGTCTTTTCAGAATATCCTTGAAAAGTATCCAGAAGCTTCAGCTGGTACAGAATGTGGCCATGCGGGCAAACATAAAGAACAGCCCATGTAATACTTTTACTATACAAACTGCATTGGGTGCCATTTTGCTTCCAGGTCCAATTCAAGGTATTGGTTGTGACCTTGAAAGCCTTACATGGCATGGGGCCACATCAGTCCATCCCACCCAGTCAAGCAAGGAAAGTGTATAATGGGCCTTGTCAGCTAAATAATTCCAACTGGTGAGGTCCAGGAAAAGTGCCTTCTCTGCCATTGTCCCTGCCCTGTGGAACATTCTTCCACAGCCCCCCCCCCCTCTCCTGGCCTTTTGGAAAGATATAAAAACATGGCTCTGCAACTTTGCTTGGGGCTCACAGAGGAGCAAACAAAACAGTTTGCTGGTCAGTGCCCTGAAGGGCCTCCCCTTGCCTTTTAATTAGCTTTAATTAACTGGTTTTTAATTCATCCTTGCCTTTTAAAATATTATATACTGTGTCTGTTTTAATATTTTATTTGCACACTGCCCGGAATCCTTCTGTGAAGGAAATTTTAAATGCCTTTTAAAATTTGATAAAGGCTTGTTATGGGAAATAGCTGTATAAGAGCATGCACCTGCCTATTTTGTTATATAGGGGGGGAAATGAATGGGGGCTCACGGATGTGTATTGAATATTAAAAGTTGGAAAGTTGGACCAGAAGGAGGGATAAACAAATCACAAAGAAGGGGGAAAATAGAAAGCTGTGCTTGCTTGGATGGCTGATGAGGCTTCAAAAAGAAAGAGGGAAGAAGTTTAAAGAACAAATGGCAATATATCAAGCAATATTGGACATACTGCAAGCAAGAATGATTTGAAAGATAGAAAGATATGGGAGGTATAATTGGTGAAAAATAATTTTAGTCAAGTTTCCTTTTATTTTATGCCTTTAATTTATTTGGCTTCCTATTTCTTATTCCTTTTCTGTATTTTGCATAACCCTGACAGTTGATATGAATGTAGGTTACAATTAACAAGCAACATAGCAGTATTTTAGTTGCCTTGTAGGATGCCACTGTAGTTAAGAGACATAAGGCACATAATTTTAATAGATGCAAGTATCTGTAAGATTCTAGGCTTACTGGCTTAAGCAGAAAATAGTAGCATATAAAGTGGAAGATCATGCTCTGGTCTATTTACTGTGATATCCAATCTTGAATCTTTCTATTTGTTCTTATCAGACCGTGCTGCATAGAGATTTAACATGTAATTTTAAGAACATTTAAATACAGCTTTTTTAGTAGCTCTCCAACAACGTTGCTCTATTTTCTTTTTATGGAATATCAAGTATTTTTTCTTTCTTTACAGACATCTATAGAGAACTCAACTGCTGAACACATCATTTCATTTAATTTGTTTAATACTACATATAAACTGAATTCACACAGGTTAGTTGTCAGAATGTTTTTTCATATAGTGCAGTAAATTATTTTTTAAAGATTGTTAAATGTTCCTAGTAATTGATTATTTATAAAAATATCTAATACATTGTTGCATGCAAACATTTAGGCACCTCTGTATGTTTCTGGAGAACAGCCTTTTGATAGTCCTAAACTTGGTTAGTGGAGAAATACAGGTGCTCTCAATTATGCAAAATCTAAGATATGGTAGTGTTAAGATCAAACCCCATTTATATCCAGGATCAATTATAAATTTAATAGAGAAATAAGATATTGTGCTACCTGATTTTTGTGTAGAATGGAGTTGGCACAAACTAAATATATGCAGGGCTCTAAGAATCTACCCCAAACACATTCTAGAGTAGCAACAGGCCAAGAGATTATTTGACTCCTGTACACAGAAAACCAGATGACATTTTATAGCCCACATTTCTGACACTGTTCCCCTAAAAGTCTGAGCAATTTAGATTGGCTGGGCAACCATATAGATCAGATTTTTCAGACTGTTACCTATAAGCCAGGAGTCCCAGGAATTAGAAAACCAAAATATAAATTTGGAGAAAGGTATTGATCACATTGATGTGTTAAATATTTGTAATATCCTTCCCATACTTTTAAAAAATACCTTTTCCTTCCTTCAAAGACAATGTTTTGGGGAATAACAGCAGATTACGGGCAATTCAAATTTAGCACTTGACCATACAGTTGCTAGTTATAAAAGTATTGGCCATTTTATAATAAAGAAAATAACCATATTTAGAACAAAATTATTATTACAAGTATTAGAATAACTGAAAGGTGCAAATTGACAGTAGATCTGCCATATTCAAAATCTCCTTATACATGCAGTATGTATATTCTTATAGTCTGCAATAGGATGACTTCATGGTTTTTTTTTACTCTTTCACAATTCAATGGCTGCAAAATCCAATGCATTCTGTATCTGTTGTTTATAGTCAGCCAGTGATACTTCATAAGTACTATTCAGCAAAAAAAAGAATCTAGTCTTTATCAGAATTACTTCTCTCAATCTGTCTAGTTACTTGGGATTTGGATTAATGTCGGCACGACTGGCAATTTTAGGAGGAGTTGAAGGCCAAGCCTGTAAGTATTATATATTATTTGAATGATCTACAAGAATCCTAAATTGCTTTTTTTTTAAAAAAAATATTCACTTTTCCAAATAAGTAGTGACATATACTACTCAATTAAAATCTATAGTTTCTTTCTCTTTTCTTTCAAGGTATTAAAAGGAATGCACAAGTAAAACATAATTAAAGATAATTAAAAACAGATAAAACTCAAAATAATGCTATGCCTAGTCAGGAAACAGACTATGAACATCAACCTTGGCTAATCTTGAAAAATCTAAGGAAAGTGAGATCTGGTTACTATTGGGAGATCAGGATATATATTTTATTGCCAAGACAATTCTGAAACAGTAGTGCTGTTGTACAAAAGCAGCACCATTTAACTTGGGTTCCCTTCACCTCCTAGAAGTGCAGGAAAACTAGAAGCTGTTCCCTAAAAGATCAGGCAGTCCTAGATGCCAACCCTTGAAGGGCTTTAAGGAGAAAGACTAGCACTCAATATTGTATCCATAAATTTAATGGTAACCATTGCAGAGCACACAAAATTGGTGTCGTGTGTTCTCATTGCCAGAAACCAGGAAATATCAGGCTATCATGTTCTGGACTAGTTGAAATTTCTGAATAGTCTTTAAGAGCAAGCCTGTGTAAAACATAATAATCAATCCAGATGGCGATGAGAACTTATAATCAGGTTTTTCTGCATCAAATAGGATTGCCATAGCTGCAGTTGTTGCAGCTGGGCAAAGCTCTTATAGCATATATTTTAGCTGCTGTTATAGCAGGAGCCCTGAGTCTAAAAAGGTCCCCAGATTGCAAACCTGCTCTTTCATGAATAGCTCCTACCCATCCAATGGTAATGCTGGTGTTGAAAGAAAATGTGATACACAAACAATAACTCATCTTACTTGACTTCAGTTTCATTATGTTCTCTTCCAATCTTCCCAAACCTGTTTCTACAACCTAGCCTAACGAATGCCATTCACATAGCTATATCTTAGGAGCAGCACCCCTGACCACCAGTAAGGTATTTCTAATTATCAGAACCATCCCTCCTCTCCCGTCCTAATATTAAAGTAGTTGAAGGACTGAAATCTGGTAGGGTAAATCTCTGACACGGCTACATTGTCACTTCATGCATCCAGGTTTCAGTAATAGATGACAGGTGTGCTGCCTGATTCAATACCAAGTCACGGATGAAGATGGTCTTATTGCAAACAGACCTGGTCTTAACTATCAGCATCCTGAGGCTTTAAATTGTATCTGGAAGTCTGTTGATAATGTCAACAATAGGAAATGTGCTGCAATCTAGACTGGAAAATTAAATCCACTGTAGAAGAAGGCAATAGCAATCTCCTCTGTATTGTTGTCAAGAGAACTACATTTATGTCTATGAAATCACTCAGAATTGAACTTGATTCAAAGGAGAGTTTACCTTTTATTCCATCTTCGGAGAATTAGATACCTTAGCTTTGCTTACTACCCTGAATTCATGTCTGATTGATAATTGTACTATACATTCAATTATCAAATAGAAAACATTCGCTTGGGAATAATGGGGGTGGGAAAACAGTTTGCCTACTCAAAATAATTGCTGTATCTCAAGCAAACTCCTCTCTATATTTTTTCTTAACAGTGAAAGAAGGTGAAGAACTAACAAGTCCCTGCTTATCACTTAATTATCAAGGTGAATGGGAACATGCAAAGATAATGTACAAAATTAAAGGGCAGAAAACAGGTACAAGATAAGATAAGATAATCTTTATTGTCATTTTTTACTGTGGGCACACTGGCAAACATTAAAAATGAAATTCTGTTGCTTGCTTTCAAAAGTGTACACATACATAACACACATATAAACATGCTATATCCAATATATGTGCTATATGTTATATACTTCTTTATTTTTGACTTGTACAAATGGGTCTTTTGAATGGAAATTGTACATTTGTACACATGCTTCCTTTAAACAGAGGAGTGCATATACAATATTCTGCCCACATGCCACAGTTTTACCGAATTTCTGCAGTCACACTCATGAATAAGGATGGTTGTTTGAAAACAATCACAGCAGAAGGCTGACTCATAAACCTATTTAAGGTGGCACATCAGCTTTTTAATATTGTTTGATCCACAAGTGATTTGTGATAGAATTCAGAGATACAGAAGGGAGAGTTTTATTGTGCTGATCTAAAGACGTTTGAAAGTAAGAACAATTAGGTTTTTTTCTATCTTTTCCTCCTTTCCAAACATGGTCCCAGTAATCAGGCATTTTTCTGAAATACTTCATTTTTAGGAAAGAGTGCAGAAGTAAGTATAATGGAAACATTTTATTCCTTCTAGGCAGCTCATGATTACAGTTAAAATATATCTTTCAAGCAGCTCAGAATAAAGTCTAATGCACTGATCTAACAAAGGACAAGTTTGAACCAGAAACAGCCACAAAAGTCAACAGATTTCAAAAACTAAAATATAAAATGTGCCATAGAATACTGAAAGTCTATATTAAAAGCACAAGCCTCCATTAATTCACAGAACCTTTCTTGGAAAGGTGTTTCAGCTGCTAACTCCTTCCATCAGTGGATGCTTAAACAATTACATACTATTTCTCCATTCCTTCCTCTTCCTTATACAAGGGGGGAGGGCCTTCTCTGTGGGAGCTCCCACCCTCTGGAATGAACTGCCCCCAGAGATCAGGGTCATCCCTGATCTCCCTTCCTTTCGCCGCGCCCTCAAGACTTGGTTATTCCAGCTTGCAGGACTGGCCTAGGGTATTTTTAGAGGGGTTTTAATTATATTTTAAATTGGACAATATTTAAATATCTCTTTTAATTAATTTTAAATTTGTATTGTTATCTATGTATTTTAATTGATTGTCAGCCGCCCTGAGTCCTACGAGGAGAAGGGCGGGATATAAATCCAAATAATAAATAAAATAAATAAATAAATGTTGTAATTGCCTATGTAATGCCCTGTATCTTTGCTTATTTCTTACTTGATGCTAATTGATAATTATTTGCTAAAGATACTGAAAAATAAAAAATCTCACAAATACGAATTTCATTACAGTCTTTTTTCCCTTTTTCTTTTAGGAAGGCCACTTTTTGAATCATGTCATAATGAAATATCAAAAGTGCTGAACAAGAAAATTCACGAAATAGCCAGAATAAAGGATTTGGATTTCTATGCTTTTTCCTACTATTATGAATTGGCAGTAGATGCTGGTCTAATAGGTAATTTAGCAATAAGGCAATAAAAACAGTGTGAATGTCATATTACAAAGCTGGCTTTAGTTCACACAAATGTAATAACGAGTTCCACAGGGCATTAATACTAATTAGTCAAAGCAAGTGAGAAAGTAGAATCTAACTTGTTTCCTTTCTCTGCCATCAGAGATTCTTCTCATACATGCTGGAAAAAGTTTAAACATCAGTAATTTTAACTAACCCCAAATTTTTATTTACTTATAAAATATTGATGAGCATAAAGTAATATTCTAAAACAACAGTAGGCAGCATGTCAAACTGATCAGGCAATAAATGTTACTGCCTACCAGATTATTAGGAAATTCCCAAACATCCACCAAAATTCCTCCACATGTATCTGGGACAGTCTTTTGTAATACATCTTCAGTAGAAAAAAAATGTAATAAGTCCGTTTGCTGTAGTTTGTTTTATCTGGATTAGGAAATGATTTCACCATGGCAGAACACCAGATAGTTTTTTCTATATCCATATCATTCCATAATTGATCCAAAGTAAAAAAAGGATGGCCAATGAATACACAAAGCCAAGTATTACTTGGGACAAGCCCATGGCAGCTATGGAAGTCATGAACTCCTGAACTTTTCTGAACCCAAAAGACTGCACAGACATTATGGTTACAGGTTGAAGCCTATAGCATTGAAAGGCTGAGTTTTGCCCACCGTAGGTTACAAGGAAGGTGTAAAGGAAGAAAGAGAGAGAATTTGAGTTTCAGAGAAAAGTTGGATCTGATTGCAAAACTAGATTCTGAGATTCTAAAAACTTTGTGTATATTTGATATTCACAAAGCCAAAGATAAGCTGAAGATCCATTTCTTATAAGTACATCATTGGTGCTGTGAAATCACCCACAATTGCCATGTTAAAAATATATAAATTGGTGCCGAGTGGCACTGAGAACATCAGCCTACAGCACTACAAGCAAATAAATATAGCTTTCCAAGCCAGTGATAGATGGCAGTAGTGCTTTCACATATGTCATGGCATAGCCTACATATAAACCTTTGGTAAGGCCTTGAGTGCATCAATAAATAAATAAAGTTGAATAAACTCCTAGAGGATTATTGTGGAACTAATAAACTCATAGAGGAAATCCTGATGTTCCAGTTTTACAGTGCAAATGAGATTGGCACTCAGTTTACTCACACTGCTATCAGTTTATTCTGGCACTCAGTCCCCAAGAACACGTAGGCTTTTCGCATGAAAAATTGATCCTTGAGGTAAAAATTTGCAAGGACAGATCCCCACATTAGTTTGCCCAAATGCCAGATTAATATGTATCATAGTTGAAAAGTCACCCTATCCTAAATTATATGGAATGCAGTAGCTCATGTGGTTAGGATGACAATTTGCAAATCTGTGTTCAAACCCCAAGTGCTGCTGTGTGCTGGGGTGAATTTCCGTCATTCGCTCCTGCCAACTTAGCAGTTTGAAACCATGCTAGCATGAGTAGATAAACAGGTACCACTTTGGTGGGCTCATTATTGTGGACATGAAAAAAGCCCACAACTGGGTGTCCCCTAGGCAACAGTGATGTCATCAGCTAATCCTTTCACCACGAAAGTACTTTGGTGCTTCCAACACAGAGGTATAGTATACATTATGTATCAACTGCTATTACAACACACAGAAGACATATTTTACAATTTTACTTTTTCAAAACTTTTTTTAGCCATTTGCTAAATGGCTGAAAATGTCACTAATGTGAATGCTTTCTTAACTTTGGGCAGTCTTCCAGTCCATTCATCTGGGAGGGCATTGTACAAGAGTGATGACAAGTGTATCTTTCTCAGGCCAAGGTTAAGAATTCTATGAACCTAATATATGTCGACCAGCAAAGAGTTTGACCAGCTATCCTTTGACATTGAGTAGCAAACTGGTTAAGTATAGGCTGAGAGATAGATGTAGGGAATGTTTATATTCATTGTAGACTATCCAAAACTATATGGAATAGCTAATATTCTAAAAAGAAACAAAATTAAAAATATTAATCAATTAGATGTATCCAAAACAATGCATAAGAAAGAGAAGGGAAACAATTACATGTTTTTCACATTATTTTGCATGGTCTTTGGTGTGGAATCCATCTATGGCATATAGGCAGTCCTTGACAGTCATTTAACAACTGTTTGCAGTCACAACAGCCTGTAATGATCCTAATTTCATAAAACATCATGCTGCCCCCCCCCGCCGCCACATGATCCTAGCAATCATATGATCGCCATTTGCAATCTTCTCTGCTGGCTTCCACAGAAAGTCAATGAGAAGCCAGCACAGAAAGTTGCAAGCAGAGGGGATGTTGGATTTACAGTCCATTCTGCCAGCATGCCAGGGGATTTTCTGTCCTCCCATGCACTAGAGCAGGGGTAGGCAACCTTGGCTCTTTTATGACTTGTGGACTTCAACTCCCAGAATTCCTGAGTCAGCATGGCTGGTTCAGGAATTCTAGGTATTGAAGTCCACAAGTCATAAAAGCCAAGGTTGCCTACCCCTGCACTAGAGGAATGGACCACAAATCTACAACAAATGATTAAAATCCCTATTTTTTTTTATCATGTCATGTCCTTAGCACCTGATTCTTCTGTAGAATTAATAGTTCAAAAACCTCTTACACCCATAGATGAAACATTTCTTTTAAGATAGCCATCCGGTGCCCTCTTTCTGTAAGCTTTCAATGTCATCTTACCAATTTTACAGTGTAACCAAAAGAAAATTCTCACTAGAAAGAATCCTTTCAATTAACTTTAAAGTTGGTGCAGTGACAGGGAAGTTGCCAGCCCTGCTCCACTTGAGCCTGTGATTTTAAATCATCTGTATTGTTAATTGTTTTTATATTTATAATTGTTTTCATTTCTATTTTTATTAAACTGTTAGCTGCTAAGAGTCGCTTTGGAAGCAAGATGGGCAGCATATAAATAAATTAAATAAAATCTAAAGGGTAATCTCAGTCTTTAATAACATTTAAAACTTTCTAGAGCCAACAGCAATCATCTTTTTGTTATATATTCCACAAAATACAAATCTTTAACTCAGTTAAATTTTAAAAAAAGAATTGAAGGAGACATGCATCAGCCAATCTAGGTTCTCAATCTTTAAAAAACAGTAAAAAAAATTAAATCCAGAATGATTTAAGAGGTGAGCCTCAGTCGAACTTAAAGTCCATATAAGCAATATTAGCAACTACAAGCATGATGGAATCCCATGACTCCCAGTTGATCACAAGCCAAACACAAAAATTCCTGCCTTCTGCTTGCCTCCCCCCCCCCAAAAAAAATGCTGTACAGAATACACATGGGTAATCTTGGGATCTCAGATTTCAGCAGCAAATCCTGCGCTCAGGTACAATTTCAGCCGCAATGTGTTCTTCTATTCTACAGGAATGTCAGTTTGCCATAATGGCTCACCAGAAACTGCCCAAGATTATGTTAATTCGTTAATGTAGTATTTGCATTGTTTATTAGTTTAGTGCAATAATTTGTAAAAACCTCTCTCGGAACATAGAAATCTTAAATACAAAAAGATTCCAATTGAATGTCTATTCATTTCTGTAATTCTATGAATATTGCAGGATATTTTTCCCTGTTAAAGACTGTAAAAATAAGACACATTCTTATTTTAATGAGCACTAAACCTAAAGTGTTGTGCTTGAAATGCACACAATACTGTCTACTTAACCATTTATTAATCATTTAGAATGGCAGCTGTTTTGCCAATACTGCACTCTTTTTCTGTTCTAGAACTACAGAACTGTTTTTTTCCTCTCTTTCTTTAGATAAGAAAAAAGGGGGGATCCTACCAGTCAGGAAGTTTGAAAGTGCAGCAAAGAAAGGTAAGCCATTAGTACCGTTGTTCATATGCTTACCTCAAGATCTAAGGAAGTTTTATAAAATACAATCCAACAAAGACTCTTTAGTATCCAAAGCAAAGTGTTTATGTGGGAATAGTTCTAGCAATGATCTGCATTTACATTTATTTGATTTTTTTCAATTACCCAGTGTGTAAAACAATGGAGATTCAACAAGAAAAGCGTCCTTTCTTATGCATGGATCTTACCTACATCAGTTTGTTGCTGAAACAACTGGGCTTTCCAAAGAATCACATTCTTAAGGTAATTTTTAATGTCAATATTTGGTGTAGAATTATAATATCAATATTGAAAGTACAAAGAATAGAGGAAAAGGGATATCCACAATTTTCTTTCGCAAACATCTATCAAAAATAAATTAAGGCAGTTTGTTTAAAAAATAATAAAGTTTCAACTTTGAAAATATTATTTATTCTTTAGAATTTTGGGGTGACATTTTGAGTTAAGAGAAAGATTTTGAAAAAGCAGAAGTAGACACTGGGGAAGAGACAGAGTAAAGGACCTTAGAGAAACACAGGAAGAGAGTAACAGTGCCCCAAACATTGCATCCTACCACGAATCATGTACAATAGTCTTAAATGTGCAAAATAAAATTTCTGGTTTTAAATTGTACAAAATTTATTTTGACTGCTCTCATTTGATAAACCTTCATCAGGCGTTACCTGCATAATTTTAGATTTTAGGGTTGTAGGAGCTGTGGTGGTGCAGTGGTTAAAATGCTGTATTGCAGGCTAATTCTGCCCACAGTCAGGAGTTTGATCTTGACTGGCTCGAGGTTGACTCTGCCTTTCATCTTTCTGAGGTTGGTAAAATGAGGACCTAAAATGTTGGGGGCAATATGCTGACATTGTAAGCTGCTCAGAGAGTGCTGTAAAGCACTATGGAACAGTATTTGTCTTAAGTGCTATTGCTATTCAAATAGTACAAATATTACAGCCAAGAAATACTCTTTCCTCTTTTTTCCCCTACATTATAAAATCTGGGAGCCCTGGGATTCCAAATGCTACTTAGTAAAACTAAGGGAGCATACAAATTGGGTATGTATGTACTATGTGGAAGGTTATTATATAGTTTCTTGAAATGTATAGATCACAATGTTTTAAACAGCCCACAAAAATATCTCTGTTTCCAAGACTTTTAATCATGTTTTCTTTTCCTTACAGCTGGCCCAGAAGATTAACAACATTGAAACCAGCTGGGCTTTGGGTGCAATTCTTCACTACATGGATTCACTTCACATGCTATAATATTAGGGATTTACTGTCTGGGGAAAATGAATCTAGGAAATTGGACCCGATTGGTTCCTTTGAAAAAGGGCTACAAGCAAAATATATGTATTTTAAATGTTGACATCTTTCAGTAAGGGAGGCTAGTGGTTGAGTTTGATAGTTTAAGGTGCCCAGTATTGTCCTGGGATCACAAACACTTATTCTGAAAAAAATAATCCATAACAGCTAAAAGCAGAAGCATATCAGAAATCAAACCAAATTATTATAACAAATATCCTTTGATTTATAATGAACATTTGCTGATGAGCTTTGATTTATTTGATGTACTTTATGAGAAAAGCACTTAACCTTTAGGCAGGTGTTTTGCCATCTTGATGCAAGCATATAAAACATCAGAAGCAAGCAACTTTTTAACTGTACCTTTGAATGTTAGGCTGTAGGCATTCAGATTTTAAAATATGTAACAATTTGGGGTATTTGTTTAAAAACTTTGTTATGCTTTGTTAAATTCTTACTGATACGTATTTAGATTGACTTTTGAAAATCAGCTTTTAATCCTTCAGAGCCTTGGGGTACTGGTTTATTTTGGAAGAGATAAACTGGGCAAGATGCCTATTCCCACACAGAATTCAGTTGATGTTTTTCCCTTGATTTTTGACTGCCTTAAGCTTTATTTCTTTCTGGTGTTTATTCCATTCTATAATGGTCTTTTTCACTTTTAAATAGCACAATGTTTTTTGTTCCTGCTGCCAAGCAAAAGATAAGAGTGATATTATCTTGCTACATGCTGTCCTTGTTTAGCAACCACAATTGATTCCAGTGAAATAGTTACTAAGTGATACAAACATTAAACAAACTACATGACTGAGAGACGCCACAAAGATCATTGGTTGCTGCCATTTTGATAAAGTTCTCTCCTGTAGCAACATAAGCATTAGTCTCATTCTGGTGGATATTATGGTCAAGTGCAGAAATTTGGGCAAAAGTACATGCATTGATTGGAAAATGTTTTTACTATTTATTACTGTTGTATTTGTGAACAGTCACTATCTGAAACAGTTGCTAAGCAAGGACTATCTGTATTCAAACTTGATGAATCTTTTAATACGGGTCATTGCAATAGCTGAATGAGTTTTTTGGCATAGGCTAAAAGCAAGGCAGTATTGGACCATGCCATACATGTTTTTTGAAATATATTAATTAGCTATAAAATACTTGAAGAAATTTTTGATTGTACAAATTTGTATGAAAGCCAGAAAGCTTCCTACTCCCAACATTTATGCCTATATCTGAGAGATAATCTGGAAATTCAGAAAAAAATGCTTGAATGTTCCAATAATGATTATGTGCATTTGTTTAATTTTGGTTTAAATATTAGATCATGTTTAAAATAATATGAATGTTCCAAATTTTGTATATATCAATTCAGTAAAGTGTTTGTATATTTAAGGTTCCTTTAGCTATTGAGAAAACTTCAAATAAAATTTTAAAGTATAACTTCACAGTCTTTTCTTTTAAACAAGTAAATATATTGTTGCACTAAACAAAGATTGGTGAACTATATGAAGATTAAGAGTAGAATTCCAACAATACTAAGGCTGTTTCCATCCAAGGACTCTGTTCAGAAGCATGTTTTCTAGCTGGGTTTGAAAGGTGAGCTAGTTTATCATTGGATAGGTTGAAATGTACTTGAAACTGCAGTAAAAATGTTTTATTTGAACCAATGCAAGTCCATAGTGATCCTTTTTTTATCATCTGCAGAAACTTTTGCATCATCCTACCTTTTGCTTCCAAGACATCAGCAATCTTACCAGAATTTCTAAGGCAAAAGCTGACTGGATGGCATTTATAAGAACCATTTATTTATTTAACACTATTTTTGTGCTACCCCACTTACAATTGCAATAGAGGAATTAAATAAATACCCTTGGTAAAAAGCTAGCGCAGTACCCCAAATACATTTTGATCAAAAGGTTCAGCTGAACGTAGTCATAAGTTCCCTCCTAAATGTAGATAGGGAGAGGGCTATATTTATATGGGCAGCAGATTATTCCAAAAGGCCGGAAAAGCAACAGAAAAGGGACATTTCCAGTCTCTTACTTCTTTAGGGTATGACTGGCAGATACTGTCTGGGACGGATGATCTGTAATGTTACTAGGACCCAAGCCATAAAGCACTTCAAAGTGCTTTTGTGATACTAGGAAGAGGAAACAGTGACAATATGGAAATCTGTGTTTTCTTAGAAACTGTTGTCAGTCTTGCAAACACATTAGACACTGCAGGGATTGTTAGAACTGCAGCATGCAAGGAAAGGAGGAGGAACACTTACCTCTGCTGCTAGAGTCGTAGTGACAATATACCGTATATAACTATGGAGAAAAATATCAATTGATATCAATCAAGGCCTTTTGTTTTTACTAAGAGCAGGGACAATGAATTGAAATAGCAGGAAAGAAAGGAATGATTCTCGCCCTCCCTAACTACTGTGGTCCTGATTTTTAAAGATGCATTTGCTTATTTTGTTGTCTAAAACTGAAATGGTTCACATTAACACTTGCAATAGAGTAAACGTGGTAGATACTGCATAGTAGTAGCCTATCGTGGAAGTGAAAAGTTACAGATTATCCAAATATATATTCTTATATTTTATTCATACATAATTTAACAGAGCACTTTAATTCTGGCATGAAGGAAGTTGGTCTACTTGCCGCTCTAGTTAATATATGTGAAAAGTCAAAAGATATTTGTTATTAATTGCTGTTTCTCTTTGGCATGTCCTTTGAAACAAAGTATGAAAAAGTATTGACCAATGCAGTGAACAATCCCAATTATACTCAATTGATAAATTATAGTTCCCACTGAATCCAAAAGACCTTCAAATAAAGAGTTTTAGATGGAAGCAAGCTATAAAACTGCCTTTGCTTGCCTTTTAAACAATGTTGAGCACTGATGAAATTCCCCAGGGTAATAAAAAGACTAATGTTCTATTAATTATTCAAAGGAAGCAAATAGGATGACTAAGACAGTGGTTAAGATAAATCAAACACTGAACTGGAAAAGAATGTATGTCCTTGAAAAATAAGCTAATAGAGTTTAGTGATACCTGCAGAATGTCATTTTGGTTTGATTCCAGATATAGTTTGGAAACAATTTATAGCTATGTACTAAGAATAAGGTCCTGAAATCAAATAGAACAAAGGATTTCATTGAATTAAAAAGTTAATTAGCATATAAGATGTGACCTAGTCTGATACAGTATTCTCAGTAGTTACATGAGCAGGTACACATTGTTTTCTGAAAAAAGATCATCATAAGACTATTTGTGCTTGACAAGTAAAAAATTAAAGAGAGATTCTAGCTTAATCATCGCTCCCTTTTGTTTTGTGCCACTTTTGTATTTATCTCCATATGAAATACATAAAACTTCATCCGGCCTGGATTTTGGATTTTTGTAATGAATTAAAAAGGATCACCTTGTAAGAGATATTTAGGATTATTTTTCAGATTATAAAGATTTAGGGTCTAGAGTTTAATTGCACCAGTTTAATGGAAGTCCTTCTTGTCTATATAAAAAGAGAACACCTTTCAATACATTTGCTAAATGTAGTTTGACAATACAGTGACGGCATACTTAAGCTCAAAAGTAATTTGATATCTCTGGGAAAATTCAGCTGCAAATTAGATAAGAAAGAAATTTGACATCTAAACAAATTTATTATTAAAGCTTCTTCATTTTTTAAATGTTAGTAAATTGAATTGATTTAACTCTCAACATTCCAGCAATTGATGTAATAACTATGTGTCTTCTGTTACTTGAAAGAAAATGAAGATGATTAGGTTATTTCACTCTGCCTCTATTCTCACATGAGCAAAATTTTCAGACCAGGGTTCAGGGTGTACCCAAGGCTTGGAGGAGGATGGAGGGCAGCCTGTGTATATTGTATATTGTGTATATTGAAGGAAGTAAGTTCAAATGAGCTTACATTTTAATAACTATGGCTAAGACTGCACCATATTTAAGCCTTTGCTTTGGCAAGTTGTGATGCCCTTCCCTCATGGATGCTAGAGAGTAGATATAAGAGGTCCTTGGTGCTCTCTGAGCTTGTTTTCTTGCAGATGTTTCATTACCCAAACTAGCACTGATAATGTTACCTAGTTTGGGCAATGAAACATCTTCAAGAAAACAAGCAAGCTCAGAGAGCATGAGGGACCCTTCATTTCAACCCTGAGCTACAAATGTTCTCCTTTATTAGATTAGGTATAAAAAGAACTTTTGGCAGAATGACTGTCATTGTGGAGTTGGGAAGATAGAAACAAGTGAGTACACACAACTGGTTTGCTGATATTACAGTTATCTATGCAGCACATATATTATACTTTTGCTGGTAGATTTTCCGGGTTCTATTGCCCTACTGCTAAACAATACAATGTAGCAACATTTTGAGTGGCAATATGTAAAATCTGGTGCCTGTAAGAAGTTAGCAACATATATTTCTTTCCTCATTTTTTATTTCTTCATTTGCTTATGTGTTGGCTTCCTTCTGCCCTCACCAACTGTTTCTATACCTACTTGTTTTGTATATTTTTATATATGCCTTTTAAAAGTTTATATAAAATCTGTAAAAATCTAGATTTGAAACATACTTTAATCTTAATTTGACTTAGGCCTAGATTGCCTAGGATGAATCTTATGTGTATTTTCCCCCATATAAAATCATTCCTTGCCTTTCATATTATACTGTAGTTTTATACTTCTATACCTTTTACAATGTATATTGTATTGTTTTATGCTGGTTTTTGGCCATAGTAATTTTGTCTGTCTAACCCAGTGATGGCAAACCTTTTAGAGACCGAGTGCCCAAATTGCAACCCAAAACCCACTTATGCATTGTCGGGTGCTGGGTGGGTGTGGCCCATTGGGTGGGTGTGGCTCATTGGGTGGGCGTGGCCCATTGGATGGGCTGCGGTGGTAACAGCAGACTGGGTGGGACTAAAAAGTTCAATCAATCAATTCCAACTTTGCAAGATCTTTTTTTTCCCCGCGAGAAGTTGAAATTGACTGAACCTTTTTTTTTGTACACGGCGGCGGAGGCCTAAAGCGAAAAGATTTTATAAAACCCAGCTGAAGGCCTAGGACTGGGGCGACAGCGCACGTGCCCACAGAGAGGGCTCTGAGTGCTGCCTCTGGCACTTGTGCCATAGGTTCGCCACCACTGGTCTAACTTGTCCCACTTAACAGTTCACAATAGCACATGTCCACTTCATTCCAATGCAGTTTCTGTTTCCATGTTCATTGGCTCTTTCTCTAAGAAAATTAGAAGTTGGGGGAATGGAAAGGAATCCATTCTTCTGATAATCAACTAACCTTTGTAGTTCCTGGTAAAGCAAATAATTAAATCCATTTCTGAAATGCTTATTGCTGTGACAATAGAACCCCCCTTTTTTAAGCAGACAAGGGTTTTTCCTATTTTCATCTGTATAATATTCAGAACAAGGAGGTACATTCCCCCAAATTCTGGAAATGGCTAATTACAGTAGTGGCCAAAATTGTGGAAACCTTTTGGGAAAGGTGTACAGTAGAAATGGTTAAGTTTCCACCAATTTTTCTTCTAATTTCTTTATAACTGTAGCCTTGTTCACTTAATAATACTATTTTACATCGCTTTCTGGGCAACCAGTCAACTCTTTGCACCATTACTTTAATTTTATTACATTTTACAAGCTCACTAAATGAAAGAACACAAAAAAACCCAACCAACTTGATAGCGATCACGTAACATACTGACAAATGTCCTCCTCTCAGCTTCAATACATGACATCAATAACTGAATCCTGTGAGCTGATTGGCTCATTGCCAAAACAAGATGATACCTGATTGGCTCTCTAAACATTCACGCTCATTGGCTACAATCAGATGAAGGAAAGCTACCCGATATCAACCTAAGCAAGTTGTGTTTCCTTTTTCTCGTTATTTGGCTATAACATTTCATAGAATACAGTACAGATAATTGAACAATAATTGATTAAATTATCTTTCCATTGATATATAATTTTATAGTACTACTGCAAAAAAAAGTGGCGTTATTAGCCATCAAACCTCAAAAATACACTTTTCCCAAAAGGTTTCCACAGTTTTGGCCACTATTTTAGTTCACTAATATTCTGAATATATTATTTGCCAATTACACAAAATGTGCAGGAAAGTTCAGGAAAGGTTCCCTTAGGGCAAATGGCAAATTAGAAGCCTCTGTTTGTGCAATTGTATGCCTTCCCTCCCTTCTACAGACACGATCAGACTGGTATGTGCTCCTGAGGCAGGGGATGATGCAGAATTAAGACAACTGGTTCCTGATTCTAGGAAAACTAAATAATTCTGCCGCTTTTCCTCTGACTTTGGGGGCAAGTAGTTTCCTACTGGTGCCAGGATATCTGTGGAATATGAGCAAGTTTTGGAAGTTGTCGATACAGTATACAGATACCATAGATTTGGGAGCTTGTAGATGCTTTTATTAACTTGTTCGGGTGCCACCCAAAGTCATATGTCGAGTAAGTGATCTATACACTGAATTAATAAAGCAAATATTTGCAGACATCTGTCAGTTAACGGAACTGAATCATGTGATGTCCTAAAGGCTAACAAATTGGCATGAGCCACATCCACTTTAAATGATAGTCCACGTGCTGATGCCTTACTAAATTAGAAACCGCGAA